GGATATGCAGTCTGCCGGCGCTACAATACTTAAAAAACCACATAATATGAAAGTTACATAGTATACATTGTCCCCCATAGTTTAATGTTCAAAGCACATTTTACAGGACATGTCTCTATTATTTGTCACTTTACAACTAATTGCAAGTGGGCAAGTGTAGCGGGATCACAAGGGAACGTAAAACTATTTCAAAAAATATTTTCCCACCTTTAGCTTTTAGGGGCTCCGTAGATGGCAAAGAATAAAATTACAACAATGGGTCTAATGCTACAATGACACTTTAAATTTTGAATTGGTTAATTATGGTTTGAATATGAATTTTCCACATCATGTTCGAATGAATGCTCAAGTATCGGTTAAAAAGTGACAGCCTTAGTAGTAACTGAGGTACAAAGTTACTTGTGCCCCCTGAAGTAAAGTGTTACCATTTATGAATTATACACATGGAAACAATAAGGTTAAATGGGAATATTTTAAGTATGAAGCCAGATTAATTGCTATCAGAAGAAGTAAGGAGATTAAGAGATCCAAGCTTGAAAAAAGTCCAAACTAATAGATTTTTTAAATTAATAGAAGTAATTCCAATGAAGAGGTATGAGGATCACTTGCAGCCACCATGCTCCCAACCCAATCGGACTCACTGGGATACTGACAGCTCTGTTTTGTTTTAGCTCTGGTGGCCTGTAGCGTAAAACCTTAAGAAACGGTTTGCTCGTTGCCAGGTTTTGTCCCTAGTATGTCAGAGTTATTATACTCTCTTCTTACCTAGCCATGTGAGTCCTGTTTGCCTTTGTCTGCCTGTTCTCCCAGACCCTGTCACCTGAGAGATTGCTGATCTCAATCCCCATCTAGGTGCGCCTGAGTGCCTTGTTTTCTAAATACAGAAACACACACACACATGTTGCCATACCTAAATGGAGACCTCCCATTCATTTCTATGTGACATTTCCCAATCACAACACCCTAAATCCCTACCCAGCCCTAACGTTAACCATAAGTAACCAAACAAAATACACGACTTTTGGCAGTTTTACTTTTTTGATTGCATTCAGATTTTAATAAAACCGTTGTTTTCCAAATGGGGACCTGAAAAATGTCCCCAAAAGTATGGAAGTTTCAAGTTTTCTATACAACCCCCCTCTCCGGTCCCCATCCCCAACACACACACACACACACACACACACACACAGTACTATGCAAAAATCTTAGGCAGTCACAGAAAATGTTTTAAGTTATCTTGGGAGTAAGTGCTAAGAAAAAAACACCATTTGCCATAGAACATTTGCAAACAAGCAATAATTTCTTCTGTTCCGCAAAAAAGATACTGATATCTAGTTGGTACTGCCTCAGTTCCCAAACCTCACCTCAGCTATTGCATGTATTTATTACATTTGACCACCAGCTGTTTTTTTTTTTTTTTTTTAAATTAAGGTGCAAACAAGAACATGAAACATACAAGAATACAGTTTCAGGAACAGGACATCAGGAAAAATATCAGAGAGCATGGAGACAATGGGAAAAGAAAATAAAAAAAAGAGATAAAACAAAAATATTAGCACTATTAACAATAACGATAAGGAGATTATTTGAATAAAATAAAATGCATATACCTCACATACATCTAGTTATATGTATAAATAAGGGTCAAGTTATATATCAAATAAATTAGATAATAGTTACACAGCAACACAAGACAAATAACCATGGATATCTGTCTTACAAGCTCTTACTTTTTTTTCTCTACCAGGAAAATACAGAAAGATAGAATAGAAGAAATGAAAAAATAGAATGATAATGAAATCAACTATAATAATAATAATAATAATAGTTAAATGACAGAACCATTAGGCGTTATTATGTAGTGAGCAAGTGTAGACTATTGAGGTTGCACAGTATACTGTACTTCCCCCTTAATGGTGGGCATGTGTTGTGTGTGAGCATGTATGTGTTTGTGTTTTTCTGTGTGTTGGGGAAGGTAAAAGTGATACATTGGTGGTAGAGATAGAAGAGAGGAGAGGTATGAGCAAAATGAAGAATGATGAATGAATGGGAGAAGGCTGTTGTTTGGTCATCCTAGGCAGGTTGGGCCCGCCGTGCACTGTGAGCGGGCCAGAGGGAGAGTATGGCAGCCCTCAGGACAACCCCCCCATCCATGACTGCCCCACCCCAGGCAAACCACACCTAACAAAACCCGCCACCCCTAACCTAGGATGGAGTTTGTGTGGATCTGTTTTTCCCTTTTAGTGTGTAAGTGTAGGAGAGAGAACACGGATCTGGCGTCATGCGTTATGAGGTGCAGATCATGCAGGTTGGTCCAGCCCTGAACAGGAGAAGTCAGTAGGTGGGAAAGCGGCCACCAGCTTTTTTAATTAATTAACTTACTTTGTTAAATAAACGGGTACTCCACTCTCCAGGAAGAAGACATTTTGGGTTATGTTTGGTAAAAAATAACTTGGACCAGAGTTTGGACACTGTGATCAGTAAGAGATGAGTATGAAAGCAGAAGCACCTTGGATCATGTTACTCTATTACCTGATCTGGGCAGGACCAGCCAGTCAGCTAACTGCAGCTCCCCATGTGTGAAACTCCAGTAACTGTGCTTTGTTTGCTTGTGTGAGTGTCAGTTAGGCTCATGGCTTGACAGAGAGCAGTGACAGTATCCTGCTTGCCTCTGTCTCCTCAGGCAGAGGGACGTGTCTTCAATCACTTCACAGGTCCCCTAATGAAACACTCAGCAACTAGTATTTCAGAGGGGTTACCATGGAATCTGCTGCCTGAAGACAATCAAAACAGGCAAGCAGAAACAGTAAAAGAAAAGGAAAATATAAGTTTCCATGTAATTGTTTCCTGCCCCTCCTGTTTTGTGTTTCCTCACTCTGCTCTGCTCTAATTGAATGTCCATCCATTGCGGTAGAAATATGAGTGATCTTATATGCAGAGGGGTGGGGTTTTACTTAACCCTAGTCCAGCTTGTCTTTTACTATATATAACCTTGTCTTCTTCTTGAACAGCATAGATACCAGTTACCTGGAGAAAATTAAGAGAGCTTTATTCAGGACCACTATCTCCATTTATCTCCACTATGTATTTGTTCTTTGTGTGGCTCAGAAGGTTAGGATGATCAGAAGGTTTCTGGTTCAAATCTCAGCGTTAGCAGGGAATGGAGACATGCAGAGAGGTGGGGCTTTGAGAGAATGTATATATATGGGGGTGGAGACATGAGTGACTCCAGATGCAGATGGGCGGGGCTTTCAGAGAATGTATATGTGAGGGGGTGAAGAACTGGACGACTACATGTGGAGGAGCAGGGTTATGAGAGGTAGTATGAGTGTAGTAAACGTTACCTTTCATTGAGGATGCCAGACAGCCCAAAGATAAGCATGCAAAATGGGAAATTTGTTGAGCTGTGAGAGGGCAGGATTGGGATGAGTCGACTCACACATGAACATGAGCTGTGTTCATGGAAGATGACGAGGTTGTAAATGAATGCCGGACTGTTATGATTAAAGACAGAAGGAATTAATCAAAAGCCTGGTTAGCTTAACTCTCACACCCCTTATAATGATCATTACAGTTCTTTCTCTATGGGTTATTCACCCATTAAATTCCATCCCCTTATTATGTAGAGTCTACTCATCCACCAGATGGCTCTTTTTAGGCTTCTGGACATGATTTAGGAGGCCAAGAAGTACGGGCTTCAGCTTGGTTTATGAAGTTATCTTTTTTGCCTTGGTTGGTTCCTTATTATGTATATCAGTTAAGACTCCCCAGTATAGCCCTTGACTGTTACTTCTCTGTGTTACCTTGGTATTGCATACCTAGATGGCCCTGGTTTCCAGCAGACATCCCATGAAAATCACATCATGAACACTGCTCCCCGTGTCATCAGTTATTAATGGTGTGCTTGGGTCACACACTGATACAGGACCCTGGTTTGGAGTTTAGCAAAAGAGTAGCAACAACCTGCCCAACACTGACAAAAATGCAAGACACAGAGAATTCCTAACAGCCCAGAGGCATATTTTGGTGAATAAGAATGACAGGCAAAAGGAATCTCTGGGGGAAACAAACAAAAAAATTGCAGTTTTGGCACAGAGAAAAGAAAAGCAGCACAAACAATACCCATGTAAGCATGACGTTGCCCTGGGGGCACACAAAAGTTAAGCTTTGCTCTGTGTTACTATCGAAGCAGACTCCAGTTTACATAACCACCAGCAAGTTCATGTAATTGAATCAATCTTTTCCTCAGTTTTACTGAACCAGGACTACAAGCGGATGGCAGGGCGGCTTCATACCTGCTTTCTTGCAATTCCTTCATCACAGCTGTAATCTCTCCTCCCAATGCAGGTGAATGTCTGGCACATTTGGTGTATCCTGGCTGGTGAAGCTCCACACCAGTTCTGTTTAACAGAACTCTGCATCAGGACTTACTATTACATACAGTAGTTATTAAGTAACTTTAATAGATACATATGTATAGTAGATATAGTTACTACTAAATAACCAGTACACTGTAGATATTTTTCATGATTGATGATGGTTTTTGAATATAACCACAGTCCTTGGTAATTCATGATGCTGCATTTTTATGGCGTTTACCACAGTCCCACAAACACCCGCAAAAAGTTCTATAGTAACTGGGGCAAACAATAACGAGTTAAAAAGTTCCAAACTAAGCTGGAACATTGATTACATGTACTCAGTATTGTTATTGCTTAATGAACCACTCCTAAGGAAAATGGAAGTGGAATCAAAGGGTTATCAGGCTTACTTCTTAGGAAATACTTTAATGTAACAGTATGAATTAGTTATATGCTGTAAGAACAAGAACAGTGAACTCTGGATAACAGTGTCTGTTGGCATTTATAATATTACATGGTGCATAAAGTCTGTTTATGCTCAGCACTAGCACCACACTACGTAAACAAAGCAGGTCTCTCTCTTTTCTCACGGAACAAAAGATATGCAGGCCATCGTAGTGCTGACAGCCACTGCATGTATGTGGAGAGACAAAGGTGAGGGTGACTGATGCCCTGCACAGCTCCTCCTCTGGACAGGAAAGTCAGTCACACCTCACACCGGGAACAGGACTCAAATGCGGGAGGAGGTATGACAAGGTAAGGTCAGAATATTACATTTGTTACTGCTGTCCGACTCTATATTTGCAGTTTATGCAAAAGAGATTGCAGACAGGGATATCCTTATTATGTGTTGCGATTAAATGTGCAGAACAAGCAGCACAAGAACTACTCAAAATGTTAAACTTGGATTTAAAACTTTCTACCTAACAAACTATTATGGACAAAGGAGGTACATGAGGAAAAATGAAGTGCCTGTTTACTAGCAACATTTATCTTACAAACAAGAGCTTTGCCTGATGGTGTCTATTTTAGTGATATTACATTCAGGTATCACAGACACAAAGTAATTTCCAGAAACGTACCCTTACAATATGCTGTGGAACACCACTGAAAGCAGCTGAATGACCAACGCGGGATAATTTGAATGAGTCTCTTCACAGAGCCTGTTTGCTTCAGTGGTTACCACAAAGGGCTGTAATCTCCTGAAGATCTTCCATTTGTGCTTTTGAAATGTATTGTTTTTTCAGCTTGTGGAAACCAAGTCAGACTACAAGAAAATTGCAAACATTCATAAACATTCAGGTAATCCCTAAGTATTCCATGTTGCTCTCTGTAACGATCATGAACACAAGCAAATTTTACAAACTATACCTGAAATTAAACAATTGAAGTTTTCTAATCAGTATTAAGTTTGTTACATTACAGTTTAAATCTAAAACTGCAGTTTCAAATTTTAATAGTTAAAAGGGCAATTTGTTATTTATGGTTTTACATCAGTCCATAGAATTTGAAGGTTCTACCACTACTAGTCTATCATTTTAAGTAATTTCTGAGAATTGTGGTCGAGGTAGGGTGTGCTTAGGAATTTTGCTGGATTTTCACTCTGCTTGTTTTTGATAGATCTCATTATGCTTGACATTGAGGTCTTCATATGATTAATCATTAATTTCCCCAAGTTTCTGTTATTCTGGGATGGATTTTCACTCATGGAGTTACTGACCATTTCAAGGAATTTGTGTGGGAATTGAGCAACTTTCTTTTTTACAATTTAATAGCCATAATCAAGAGAATATGACTGGAAACTGGGAAACCTGATCATTTAAATGGCACTAAAATGTTATGGTTGTTTTATACTTGGTGAATTTGCAGCTTTTCTTATGTTGCACCTTAAGAATTAAACACTCAGTGCTTTTATACATCTGGAATGATCACCTTCTACTTTTCTATCTTTTCTGGAAAGCTGCTGCCCTCTAGTGTTAGGAGGTCAGACAGAGGTTTTAAAATTGGAATGCTAACAAAACAAAAACCCAAAAAGCATACACAAGACTTATAATGTGTGAATTACTTTAACAGCTACTTGCTTTTTTAAGGGTTTATTGCAGTACCTAAGAGGAGATAATGTACCTTTTTGTTTTTCTAGGTTATGACTTTTTTTCAACAAAACAAAGGCAGAATGAGCATCACAAACTGTAACAGGTGAGTGATCTGTCTGGGGGAAAATTGTATACAGACAAAATCATGGTTTGGGCTTTAAGAATTATAGGCTCTGTTTGGCATGTTTTGGAGGTTCTGGAGGAATTACCATCAACAGTGACATACTGATTGAACACATAAGAATGCTTTATTTAACAGAAAACTCTCATGAGTTCTAGTGTGTGTACACAGCTGTATTTTCAAATATTTTGCTGTACTTTTGGCCATGGTCTGCCCTGTGTGGGACATAATCAAATGTTTATTGTAGCTTTACATTAATTAGGATACTCACTTTACACACATAGAATGTATTTTTATATATACACATACATATATACATAGAACTTTTTCAGTATTCCTCTGTCCATTGATATTTGCACATATTAAGCAAGAGCAATGTGTTCTGTCAGCAGGAAGGTGTGGAAGTGACAGTTTAAAAAGCGCACAACATGTAGCTTTGCAGCCCATACAATATGGTTTCCACAGCTGCTGAAAAGCAACTTAGCTCTTAGTGTGTTTAATGGTTAATCTGTCTTGGAAATCAAAGTACACAGTCTGCCCAGTGAGTTGTGGGTTTATACAAGCAGACCCCACAACAGCAACAGTCACATGTCTGCTTGCACCATCGCTTCCAAAGGCTGTAGTGTTGGCAAACTCTTCAAATCAACAGGTAATGTTTTAATTCTGGTACAGAAAAAATGTATGGAAACAGAGTTTAAATGAACATTGCACAATGTGTGAACTTTGACAATGTGTATTCTCATTAAAACTACTGTAGCAGAATAATGTATTTTACTATAGGTCTATTACAGTGTCAACACAGCTAATTGTGCTAAAACAGTCATTATGTGATCATGATATGATCACAATAACGATGTCAGCCCCATTGTGTTAAGGGTTGCATGTTTTAACACAAGTTTACAGTTTACATTTCCTGTGCTCAGCTGCGTTCTAAAAGTCATCTGCCTTGTCTAGGGTTTAAATATTTAACCTGTACTTCTGGCCGAACAGGTCTAGCTCTCAGATAATTACATAAGCAGTGCACTCATTTACATTTCATTGGTTACATTTCCTGCACAGGCTAAGTGTTAAGGTTACTTTTCTTGAATCTGACAGTACCATCAGTGTCTCAGTGATAATAACAGAGACAGAGTGACATGAGAAGCAGAACCTGGTCACAAGAAAGAGATTGAGGATAATGCATCTCCAAACTAGTTATCCTGGGGAATTTTGTGACGCCAGTTAGTCAGACATTATGGCTTTGGATTCCATGGGCTCCATCTAAAACGCATGGTCTAAAGCTCATGGCACAAGGTCTTTTATGGCATGGCAGCCCACTTTTGCTACTTTACTGGTGGAAAAAGAGTCACAGAACCAGGCACAGGGTCCTAAATGGGTATACTTTGTCTCATAAATAGACATAGGTGTGTTTTGGGGTGTAAGATGCTATAATCCAATCAAAGTGTCATCTACCATTCCCCTTAAGAGCCAGGTGCACTTGCACCTTGGCAGATTGCTATTATAACAGTGGATTTGCCAGGTAGCATAAAAGAAAGCTTCTCTGCAGAGGAAATGGATCTCTTCATATGTGAAGTGAAAGCAAGTAAGCAGACCATCCACAACAATGGCAGGATTCCACCAAAGCTCCCTGAGCTTTATAATTATTAATGATAGAGCACTGAAAAAATATCATGTATCAAGGGATGATGGAACAATGAAAATTATGCTTTTTATACCTCTCAAAGGATGAAGGAACAATGAAAAAACACTGTAAGACATTTTACAATGAAAAATACTCCTTAATGTACCCGTACATACCCTCTAAAGGGAAAAATCTGTTTGCTGTACTCGCTTGGTGTGCAGTTTGAAACTTATGAACCATTTCTGGAATTCTTAAACTTTTTTTCGGGCCAAGGTAAACTGCAGATAACTGAAACTGCGTATTCCACTCTAATAATTAGCCAATTTCATTTGTCATTACTGCAATTAGCTTATTCTGAAGAATATTATGATTAACTACTTTGACATAATTCTTACGATATTTTGATGTACATATAAATGGTCTTTCACATCTTATTTTTAATCTTTTGCATGTTTTTATGTATTTTTATGTATTTACGCATATCCTGTCTGTCACGTCCAGCTGACCTTCTTGTCTCCTTCCTGACTTGACCCTAATGAGCCACACCTGTTGCTTGTTATCCCTTGTTAGTCTTTGTATTTAAGTACCTGTTTCTATCGCCATCGTCAGTCCGGTCATTCACAGCCCCTCAATGCTCTCTGGCCCTGCTGGCCTTGTGAGGCCCTTAGGTCCTGCAGTCCTGATTGGCCCTGCTTTGCCGGGAATGGGCCCAGGAGGGTTCGCATCTAAGGGTCGCTACCCACTTCCCCAGGGTCCAGAAGACTCCCCAGACATTCCCCACTTCCTCTTATCGCACCTTGGTCCCTGTCCCAATACCCTGTCCTGCCTTTGTTTTGCCCTGGCCTGTGTCCCTTATTTTATTTCATTTATTTTTTAATTTATTTTATACCCAATCATCATCCCCTCTCTTCGGAGGACAACCTTATTTTTAAGTAGCTGAACAACAGATCAATACATTAAGTTAAGTCACTCCAAACCAGCCCACCCCCTGCCCACCCATGCCCACCCCCCATTGTGACATAACAGTACACAGATGGACAAATAAGACATGGCAGGTAAGACAGACATGACATTGTAAGACTTGTGCAGATTGACTTAGACACACAAGACAGGACAAGATAAAGCAAAGCCATACATTTACTGGGATATTTAGGGATTTTCTGTGAAGTTGTGAGAGTTTATGAGATGCAGCAATTGGGGTATGATTGCATTGAGGAGCTGTAGTGTCAATATGTGTGTCTGTGTGAGTGTAATTATGTGCATCATTCGGTAGCTTTAGTTTAAAGGCAAGTCCAGTGCTATGATAAATGACCCCCAAACTTTTTTGAAGTATGGGGTTTGGTGTTATAGGGAAATAAATTCCATGGATATGTATTCTTTGAGTAGGTTTGACCATTGTGTGATATTTACTGTGTGTCTAGTTTTCCAGTTTAACAGGATGGTAAATAACTAGAGACGCATTTCCGCAAAAATTGTAGGAGGAGCATCTAGAAAAAGTGAGTGGAGTAAAAAAATAAGACTAAATTAGGAAACCAACAAGCAAAACTGACTCCGTCTAATTTGAACTATTTTTATTACAATGATATGATTAGTAAAACAAAGTTATTAAAAATTAACTTTAAATAAAGATTATAGTGATGGGTACTGCGGCTCATCTCTAAGGCAATAAAAACATAGCGTTGACTCAGAGGTGTTGATTATCAACACAGTTTTTAAGAAAGTGTTCCATATCTTCTTTGTACTGAAACACAAAACGAAATTAAGGGATCGAGGTCATCCAGATCGATCATTCTGTTTTAGTTTAAGAGCTTTCTGGCAGTCCAGGTGTTGCATTCGTCCAGAACCGGCTGTGAATTAGCATCCCATATAGATATGTGCATATAAAATAGTATAATTAAGAATAATAGTCATGAACAGTAATAATTACTTCATTTCACAGCACATAACAGAGCTGCCTGACAGATTCTGAGCTAAATAAATATTTATATATATATTTTTCTTTTTCAGTAGCAAAATGTGTATAGCATTAATTAGAAACTGAAGCTAGATTAAATTAAAGCTAAATTTGGAGAGAGAAAAAAAACACCGGTCAAAACTTTCTAAAACTCCAGCTGCTAGAATGCTACTATTGTTGCTTGTTTTACCCACTTTTTTCTTTCGACAAAGCTAAACACTCTCCCACTGACAAATCCGGGCTGTGCGTGGAGATCATGTGATATCTGGTACTGCCTCCATAAGTTTGCATAACGTTATGTCCGGACTCACTTGTGGCGATCAGGCGTTTCTGGCCCTCTAGAGGAGGATCCTCCTGGTGGAGATCTGCAGCCAGGTGCTTTTGTGTCTACCTCCCTCCCAGAATTGCTTCAGGATCGGGAGAAGTTTTTTCTTCGTTCCACTATTTATTTAGGAAATTTGTCGTTGAGCCCGTAAGTAGTTCCCTTGCTATTAATGAATTCTTTTTGTGTATAGTGTTCGAGTTTAGCGACGATGGCTCTCGGTCCTTCACTATTCGTGTTTTTTGGTCCGAGGCGGTGAACTCCATGAAATGTTATTTTGTTTACGATGTTCAGTGGTATTTTCAGAGCTGTTTGCATGAAGTGCTTCATTGCAGATTATGGATTGTCGGGTGTTTGTTCAGGTATACCGGAAAAATCAGATCAGTCTCGTATGTTGCGGGACTGTAGATCTAGTATAATTTCTTTCATCCTTTTATTTTCGTCGGTAAGATGAGAAACTATAATGACCTGACTGATCTTTTAAGCTCAATGTTTTCTTTTTGTAGCGTTTCGCCTGTTACTCTGTTTTTTGTTTTTTCTGTCACTGTGCCTAATTTTTCATGAAGCATCCAAGACAGCTTCCCACAACTTGTTCAGTAATGTGTACTGCTTTCCTTGCCTGTAGATCTCCCTCTTGAGGAAGGCCCACAGGTTCTCTATTGGGTTCACATCAGGTGAGCAAGGGGGTTTCTTTGAGCCCTTTGCTGGCCAGTCAATTTGTGGTGTACTGATGCATGAGATGGAGCAAATTGTCTTGCATCAGTTTCATGGACTTTTTGAATGATTCTGGTTTCTTCTGGTACCACTGCTTGAGGATGGTGTCCCCCAGAGACTTACAGTAGTTTCTGGAGTTCATTTTTTATTTTCAAACCGCCTTCCACCCAAAATGGTCCAACCAATTCACCGTTGATAATTCTAGCCCATATGATTATCTCTCCCTGACCTTGCTTACGCTTCAGTAGAACTGGTGTGCAATGCCAGTCAGCAACTCCGAATGAATTCAGAAAGTTTCCTCTTAAAAAAAAATAAAAAATTCTGAATGATGGTGGCTCTTGAGGCTAAAGGGTTCCTGCGTACTATCTGTTTAATTCTTCTCAAGTCTTTAGTTGTTAATTTGTGTAATTTCTTCTTACCACAAAACCTTTGCAATTCAGTAGTTTTGTAGCCCTGTGATAGCCAGTTAATTATTTTTGTCTTTTCATCTTCTTTTAGGTCTCCTTTTTGGCCCATTTTTCCAGCAGCAAAAATCTGCCTAATAATTACGCACACATAAATTTAAGGCATTCCTCACTTTAAGCCACACCCTCTCCCAAAAACGCAACTAAGTCACCTGAAAATGTGTATACAAGTGAATAATACAATTAATATGATTTTTAGTAGACATAAATGCTCTTGGAGATGATTTTCCATTAGAATACAGACTTGCATAATAATTGTGTATACAGTGTAATAATTCCAATATTGAAAGCTTGTTGTTTATGGATTGGAGTGCGCTCACCTTAGTTGCAGTTGTTTTGCCCTCAGTCTCTGTAAACCAGTCTCGTCTCTGTTGCTTTTTGCTGGGTTCAGTAGCCATTATGCACAGGTTGTAAAAGCAGTCGTCGGTGAAGATGAATAAGTTATCCTGAGTTAAGGAGGCAGATGACTTCATATTGACCGTGGTAATAATGGTGAACATCTGAGAATATTTAGAGAGATGTCTTCTAATGCTACGGATTCATACAGAGGCCGCCATGTTTGTCCAGTGTCCCATGTGTCATGACAACACATCCCTGTGTGCAGCAAGGCTTGTACGTGTGCTGTGCACATACCTGCATAGGCATATTACCATCTAAATGAAGTGGCCTTTAAATAACATGGAAATATTGCGCCATTAACTTTAGACCAGGTTTTCAGTCAATGGCACAATCACTGTTCACTGCCTCAAGATAGTAAAGTCATTGATGCACCCGATTCCACATTATTTTAAGACTGACACACCCACAGGCATTCGGCAAATGTACTTGCGTCCATCTATTTGAATGATGTGGCACTGGATGGGAAAATGACAACTGTGTTTGGCTCATGCTAGTGTAACCGGTCTGCCTCGCAGTTGGATATCCTCTCTCTCCCTCTCTGTGTTGTGTAATTGTTTTTAACATAAAGGATGAAGAATCATATCACTGGTTGGCTGACGAATGTCGTTTATTCTTCTAATCGCCAAGGCTTCCCGCCGACTGAATACACAAAGGAACTTAATACAGCACAAGAGGAACACGCTCGTCACACTCCCTCTCTTCACCAAGGCTTCCCGCCGACTGACGCGCGTACAATCATATACTGACATAACAGATAAAATAAAATATATTTGAACATTCTCTGATTTATCTTATACGTATTTTGACCGTCAGCCATAAATTCTAAAACATGAAATAATGACAAAACAGTTCATATACATACATAAAACAAGAAACTGGTAGTTATAACTAAAGAAATTACACAGTACAATAATCAAACATTCACATACCTGAACACACTAAGGAACTTAATACAGCACAACAGGAACACGCTCGTCACACTCCCTTAACAGACAAAAACCAAAAAGAAATATTACAAAACCCCATTAATTAGTGTGATAACCTAATTGAAAAACCTGTGCATTCTCCTGTACGTTATTATAACCATGATAAAATATATTGCAGCTCAACTTTCCATACTTATGCTATAGTTTTGCATGCTTAACAATGTATTTTAATGGGAGTGCCAGCACTCGCCTACCTCTCCTCACCAAGGCTTCCTGCCGACTGAGAGAAGTGCAAATGCTGTAGGAAGTGATGTACCATTACAAAATAAAAGTCCCCGATGGACTTCCCCAAAACAAAAACATACAATAAAAGTACATAACAAAAATACATAAACTCCAAATTTTGGGGAAATGAAATACAAATACTGTTGTTTTCTTTTTACTTCGGCTACACTAGTAGAGACATTTGCTTTGAACCTGGTGCCTCTTGGCACAGGGTATAAAATAGGGCGCTCCGTACATTGCATGTTTGCCAATATTTTGCCAATACGTGGACAAAAAAAAATGTGAGGCAAGTTCATAAAATGAAATAATGACAAAACAGTTCATATACATACATAAAACAAGAAACTGGTAGTTATCTGTTAAGGACACCCTCTATAATGCAACCGTGTATCCGTCAAGTTCTCAATAACACTGAGATAACGGATGCTATCACATATTATTTGGCAACAGAAAGGGTCTTCAGCACAGCTGGAAATATTGTCTCCTGCCATCATGCATCGCTGAAGCTAGATCATGTAAACAGACTAGCTTTTCTTGCTAAATATCTTTAAGTTGCACTTTTTATATCAGTGTACTGAGCAGTTGACTCTAATATGTGTAGCTAGGGTAAAAAAAAAAAAAATCAAGTTTAGTGTTTTTGAACCTCAGAGAACAGTTCATCTCAGTATAATTTCTGTTAATTAAAAAAATATATTTGTACAAGTTCAGCATATGTTATTAAAATTTTATTTTAATTCAATTCAATTTCAATGTAAGTGTATAAGTTTCACTATTAGGATTCAATAAATACAATGTTTCTACAGTCGAGTAATTGTGGTAAATAATTGTGGTGAATAATCTAGAGCAGTGGTTCTCAAATGGGGGTATGCGTATCCCTGGGGGTATGTGATGGCACTCCTGGGGTACGTAAGATTTAAATATATATTTTTAAAAAATAGCATCCACGCAAAAATCCTTTAAAAATAGTTTTTAAATAAATGTTTCAATAAAATGTAAGTGTAAGTTCATGAACTGAATTTTATATTCAATGGCGTATTCAATTTCATTATCCTAAAAATCCCAGAGCCACAAGGCATCACCTGTCAATCACTGCCGCCTTGAAAACTCAAACAATGGAGGCGTGGTTGAAGTGTAGCAGCAATGCCGCTGAAAACACAGGACACGTACCAAAGAAGGAGAAACCAGAGCCGGAAAAATTCTGTCAGTATTTAGAGGAATATGGCAGAGGTGGCTTGATGGTTAGGGTAGCGCACTTGTAATTGAAAGATTGCAGATTCGAATCCCCCACCAGCAAGTCACCACTGAGGTACCCTGAGCAAGGTACCGTCCCCAAGCACTGCTCCCCGGGTGCTGAATTAGCTGCCCCCTGCTATGTCACAAAAGTCACATATGGGCCAAATGCAGAGGTCACATTTCGTTGTTGCGCACTGTGTGCTGTGGTGTGTTGACAATGACCACTGATCACTTAATTCTAAATTCTAAAATTCTAATGGGATTTACCTCCACGGGTTGCAAGCCACTGTGTTTTTTCTGTGGGGAGAAACTAGCCAACGGTAGCATGAAGCCCACGCATCTTCAGCAGCATCTCAAGACAAAACACGCATGTCATGTTGGTAAGCCACCTGAGTTTTTTAAGAGGAAACTTTCTGAATTCAGGTCATTTCAAGACATGATGCGGACAAGGTGGGTGGCTTCCTGAAGAAAGCAGAGCTGTGGAGAAGGGTCTGTGCAAAGGGGGATTTTACTTGCTTTCCTCAGGTGGATGATTTTCTCTCTAGTGAGGATGTGGACAGAGCTCCAGTCAAGTCATGTCATAGTGGGACATTTGACCACCTTGATTCAAGATTTTCATTCGTACTTTCCTGACATGATGGAGAAATCTGCACTGCTGGATTGCTGACCGATCCACGTCCTATACTTACTTTAGCTTTTGGCAGTCTCTAAAAAGCTCCTATTTCATGTTAAATCTATTGGTACAATCAATCGCAGAACAGCTCTTTCCCATTTTGCATGTTTTTTTTTATGGCATTCAAATCGAACGCTAACGCTGCCGCTCAGTCTTTTTTGCTACTCAGTGGGTGCGAGTACAGTGGCTTCCACCTGCTGTGACGTCATGCGCATAGCCTTCGCATTACGAGGAGTGTAAGATAAGACGTGACGATCTGGGAGTATTTAATGCTTTTAACAGAAACCAGTATCACGGAGATTTGCAATCTTTGTAAAATAAAGTTTTGAGAGCTGGGAATAGCGTTTAATGGACAATCCCACGTAACAAAGTGCACGCAACTGTGCGAGACAAAAAAAAGCAATGGATGATTTGGGAGTCGCTAACCTGGACTGTTTTGTGAACTCGCTGCAGCTTGTGATACAAGAGGGGCTGCCATCGCAACAAAGTGTAACTGAGCTGACGCCAATGGGAGAAAAATTGTGTTAACATTTTAAGCATTCGCTACTTGTGTATAATTGCTTTTAAGATTCATATTGAACTGCAAATGCCTCAAAAACGCTTAAAACAAGACATACAAATGAGGTGGAACAGTACGTTATGTATATTCGTAGTAGCCTAATTAAATATTTTTTGTCATACATTTTTTCCATCTGTATTTACTAGCTTAAAAAAATTATCATATAAAGTATAACAAAGTAAAAAGAGCTCTTGTATCGGAATCGGTATCGGCAATTGTATATCGGAATCGGATCGGAACTGAAAAAATGTGGATCGGCCCATCCCTACAATAATCATGATCTCAATATTGGTCAAAAATAATCGTGATTATGATTTTTGCCATAATTGAGCAGCTCTAGTGTGTCCTGGGATGGGTTGGCGCTTCATCCTGGGTTATTCCCTGCCTTGTACTGTGCCAATAGTTTCCGGGCCAGGCTCCGGGTCCCTTCAACCCTGCATAGCACAACTGGGTATAGAAAATGAATAAATAATAATTACCAGCATGGTGATGACAGTCCTGTCCTTTATTGCAGAGAGGGTGCACACTGTGCAGAGATGGCCATGGTATGCCTGAATGACTTTGAGGAGTATGCCAAAGGGCACCTGTCCAAGGCTGTCTGGGACTACTATGCTGCTGGGGCAGATGAGTGCTGTACTCGGGATGACAACTTGATGGCGTTTAAACGGTACTGTGTGCTTCCCCTGAATCCTAATTGTCACGCTCCCACTGAACACTGATACTATGACTTGACATCACTCCCCATGTCAGAATCCGTCTGCGGCCTCGGATTCTGCGTGATGTGTCGGCATGTGACACCCGGACTACAGTGCAGGGCACCGAGATCAGTTTCCCCGTGGGAATTGCACCTACTGCCTTCCACTGTCTGGCCTGGCATGAGGGTGAGACAGCCACTGCCAGAGGTAAGGAGCCCAGTTACAGTGGTGACAGGGCCACTGTTTATAGCAAGTCCAGCCAATCAGTGCTTCAACCACCTGACTATATTACATCATTTTGTCATAAATGCTCACTAAATAAATGAGTAAAATACCTAAATACAGTTTAATGATTAAGATAGAGCACCTGAGTGAAAAGCATTTGTATGTCAATAGCTTGTGGGACACAAGAATGTAACGTGATGATTCACGTTACATTCTTACAGACTCACTGGCACCCAGATTATAGATGTCAAGCTTTAAATTTAGTTTCTGTCAGACCTGTTAGTGGTGTTTCCTGTAGAGGCATCTTTCACTTAATCTGAAACAGCCTCCCTCAGCTGCCTCGCTCCCCTACTTTCTTACCCTCATTTTCTCATGTTCTATGGCAGCCCTTCTGTGAATATCTCTCTCCTCTCACTCTCCTCCACCCCACCACTTCAGCCACGGAGGCAGTGAATACCTGCTACATCGCCAGCACCTACTCCACCTGTTCTGTGGAGGAGATTGCAGCAGCAGCACCGGCAGGCTACCGCTGGTTCCAACTCTACGTGTACCGCAACCGCAAGGTGTCGGAGCAGATCGTGCACCGTGTGGAGTCATTGGGCTACCAGGCTCTGGTTCTCACTGTGGATGTACCGTACACTGGCAAACGCCGTGACGACATCCGCAACCAGTTCAAGCTCCCACCACACCTGCGTGTCAAGAACTTCGATGGTGTCTTTGAGGTGACGGTCAAGAAGTCCTGTGTGAACTTTCAATGAAATGAAATGAAGATTTATTTTCCATTTCCATAAGTGCCAGTACATTGCAATGCTTCTATATTTTGTATATCAAATCTTGCCTTCCTTTGTAGATGAAGCTATACAAATGGGTTAAGGTAGAGTTTCTAAGGTTATATCAACAGAAATGAAATGCCAACTGTGCTCTGACTGGATTGGTATATAGAACCATGTGGCACTGGGATGCTAGGAAAGAAAATAAGCTTCATTAGTGAAAAGGTATGTAAATGTTTTTAACAAAAACAGGAGAAAGTAATGACAACAGAAGTCAGACTTTGTGCCATTGGTGAGTAAAACAATAATGGGCATTGATTTGTGGAATGGGCTGTAACAGGGGTCTTGGTGCATTTTTTTGGATCAAAGAAAACAGATCAGTCTTAAAAGATGGGTCATAAGAGAGGTCAGGTAAATGAATATGCTTATACAGTGGTACCTCAGTTCTCTAACTCATTAGAACTTGAATTTCTTAAAAGTCGAACCAACCAGTTAGAAAAAAAATTACCTAGAGCTCGATCTGCATCTCAGAATTCAAACCGTGAACGCCGACCTAAGATAACTTGCAGGCGCCAGGAAATTAGTCACGCGGCACATCTCTTAGCGGAAACAAAGGGTAAAGCTTCAGTCTCAGCCTCGCATTAGCTGTGCATGTTTACACTAACTGAATACATATAGACAGTAAAAATACATTTAGACAATGATAGACAGTAACAGTAATTTATTATATAATAAAATACATTTAAAAATAAAGACTAATAATTAATTATTTTAATATTAATAATAAACCATGAATACGTTTAATTATAATAATATTGTTGTGCCGAGCGGGGACGAAACGGAGACAAAGGCGCAGATGTCGGGGTATCAGGGAATACGGGGTTTAATTACAGGTAAGGCAGGCAAAACGCAATACAATGACCGGACTGGGGAAACAAACTGAAACGTGGACGAAATACAGATGACTAATGACAACAACCAGAAACAGCTGATCACACGGGGATTCCACACGGGGTTAACGAGGGGGCGTGGCACATGGAAGGAGCAGACGATCGGGGCAGGACACATTGTTTGGAT